AATGTTTTTTTTTTTTTTTTTAAAGTATGGATGGGCGTCAATGGACGCCCGTCCAAACTTATGGACAGGCGTCCAAATGTAAGCGACGGTCGTCCAAAATTTGTGGACGGCCGTCCCCAAAGTTTTTTATTTTTTTTTATTTTCATATTTTGATTAAGAACGGACGTCCCTTATTTGCGGACGTCCGTCCAAAATGAATGGACGACCATCCATAACGGATGAACGGCCGTACCTAATTTTTATAAAAAAATTTTATTCCATTTTACTTATGGACGGACGTCCTTTAAATAGAGACGTCCGTCCGTAGTAAATGGACCCCCATCCATATAATATGGACGAGAGTCCATGTGAGTGAACGGTCGTCCATATTTGATGGTTGGCCGTTCACTAGAAAAAAATTAATAGAAAATTCAGGCGTCTAATACACGTAGGCTGGTACACATTTTCGGTACAAATTTTTCGGTGTCCGTAGCTTTATTATAGAAAGAAAAAGGTTTCTCTCAAGTCTCATCCCAAGCTGTCAGCGTTGCTGTTGGCGGCCGTTTTGCGTTTCAAGATCGGGTTTGGTTTGGTTGGTGATGGTTAGGGATTGCTGGCTCATGCGCACCTATGAAACCTTTAAGGGTGGGGAGCGGGAGAAATGGCACTTCTAGTATGGCTCAACGTCGTATGAAAAAGTCCGAGAAAAGCTTAGTCAATAGGTCTCTCTCGTTCGACAATAACATCAAGGAGGAAGAACATTTTGTGAATGCAAGAATTAGAAAAAGGGGTGAACTCAAGATGGGTGGCAATGTCTCTGGTTTGAAGGATAATAGATCGATTGAACCATTGGAGATTTCGATGGCTATTAAAGAAGTCTACGTAGAAACAAAGGGATTTGGATTGCCAAGAACAGAGCTTTGGCGTTGAGGAGAAGAGGCATGAACAGGATAGGTCAAGAAGCCTATCGGTGCCATTAGGGGAAGTTGCGAATGGTGTGAATTTTTGGTTGGTGGTTGGCCGTGAAAGCTTGGGGCCGACGGTGATCCCTCTTCCTCCAAATTCTCACATATGCAAGCAGATGGGTCAATGGTCTGGATTGTGGGTCGGATTCTAGGTCCAGTTTAGGTGTCACCAATGTTTATGACAATGATATGGGTTGATTGAAGAAGAATATTGGATTGGAATCCAACCAGGATGTTGGGCTGGTGTTTGGGCTAAGATTTGAAAAGGTAATGGAGAATTCGTTGATTGTGGTTAGGCCGAGTGAGCCGTTTTGACAAGGAGGCCACAAATCTAGGCTTCTGCTTAACAAAGGAATTGGGCTAACTGAAGAAGTGGGCAAGATTTCTGAAAATGGTCAAAAGGAGGTTGGGAGCCCAAGGGAAAGAGATTCTCCTATGGGCCACGACGGGCTTACCAGCGCTGAAGTGATCAGAATTCCCGAAGCTGGGCGACTGTGACGGCCAATGAACAGTAAGGGGAGAATACTCCAGTGAAGTTTCATGCTCCTATTTTTATGTTGATGGGACTGCAGTAGTCTGTCCGCTTATCTCAGTTCAACAAGAGGGACGACGAAAATGGGCGAATTGCTTGGTCGGGACTTTTATGGAGAGGAAGTTGCCTTTTCATTTGGTTCAGAGTTCAGCGCTGAAGATGTGGCAACGTTACAACATATCCGAAGTTATAATGAACGATAAGGGCTTTTTTTTTCTTTAAATTCGGGGAAGAAAACCTTATGTTACGTTGCTTGGAGTCCGTGGTTATTCCAGAACCGCCCTCGATTGTGGCAGAAATGGCATCCAGAGATGGCCCTCTATAAGGAAGCTCCTTGGTCCATCCCTTTATAGGTTAAGCTCTTGGATTTTCCAATGGAATTTTGGAGTCATGATGGGTTAAGCTACATATCGAGTGGAGTTGGAAAATCGATGAGGATGGATAGATTTCCTGAGGATACCTGCAGAAACGGGGTGGGGCGCATAGCTTTTGCTAGAGTGTTGGTGAAGGTTGATGCTACCAGGAAGTTGTCGGAACTGGTAAGGGAGAGAAAGCCAGCTGAGGAGTCTACATGTCCAAAGTTTTAGAAGTCAGAGTTGAATATCAATGGCACCCATCTCATTGTGAATTTTGTAGTGTTTTTGGTCACCGGAATGCAAGTTGACCACGACAGCAGAGTCGGGAGGATAAAGGTACTAAAGATGAAAAGACCAAGAGTATCAATGTTGATAGTGAGGGATTTCGCACGGTTATCTGCAAGGGTAAAGGAAACTCCATTTTGAAGCTTAGGAAGGGTCGTCTGCCAATCCTAAATCCACAAGATTAACCTATGTTAAAAAAGCTGCTAGGGACTAGCCGAAAGGAGGGAATCAAGTTATAAGTACCGGAAATTCATTTCAATGCCTTAATGTTGAGCCTGATGCATGTAATGAAATCAGTGTCCAAAGTCAAGGTGATTCTACCCCTATTAATACCATTGCGGACAATGAAATAGAGGCTGATAGTGACTCAAAATTGGAGGAGACCGATGTAGAATCTGACACTGCTTCAATGATGAGGTTCTTGAATGAAGAGGACGCAAAAAGGGCATATTGAAGGCAAGAATAAAGAGGGGAACTTTGAAGAGCCCCCACCATCACATTTTATCATGTCTAGTATGTCCTGTTGGAATACTAGACATGATAAGGTTGGAAAAAATGGAAAATCGATTAAAGTCGTGGAAGAATAGGTACCTGTCTTATGAAGGTCGTCTTCAGCTTGTCATTTTAGTTCTCTCATCCATGCAAGTTTTTGGGGCTTCAGTCTTCATCCTCTCTAACCTGTCTCTAAAGCTATGGAAAAGTTGATGAGAACTTTCTTATGGTCAGAAAGTGATATGGTGAAAGGTAAAGTTAAAATGGCTTGGAAGGGTTTATGCCTTCCTAAGTCGATGGTGGCCTTGGGATTCGGCCTCTTAGCCTCTGGAACTCCCCTTTGATGATCTACCATCTCTGGAGCCTTGTTTCCGAAAAGAACTCTCTCTGTGTAAATGAATTCATATAGTTAGGTCACGAGGTCGTAGTTTTTGGGATGTTCGTATCCCGTGGGACGCTAGCTGGAGCTGGCACAAGATCCTTAAAATGCGCGACTTTGTTAGAAGCCACATTGGTATAACAATTGGCAATGGCCAATCAGCTTTCCTCTAGTATGATTCTTGGCACCCCTTGGGCCCTTTAAATAAAGTGATACCGTCTAGGACCTTTTTTCAATCAGGCTTAGGTCGTCAAGCTAGAGTTTGTGATGAGGGAGATTAAATAAAGTGATGCCGTCTAGGACCTTTTTTCAATCACGCTTAGGTCGTCTCGGATGAGCTGGAATTTTGTTGTCCTCCTGCTATTATTCAAGTCTGTGTTATGGGATATCTGCGAGAAGCAGTTTTGCTCTGTCTTCTAGTGGATGTTTGTAAGTGGTTGTGTGGTCTTTGAGGGTCAGGTGATCATGCAGTGGCTGGAGTTTAATTGTTGGTCATTTTTTTGGAAAGGTCTGCTGGGAGCTTTTGTTTCAGCTTGGGTTTAGTTCTGGCTTTAGTTTCTTCTGGTTGTTAGTTTTTGCTTCCGCTTAAGTAACTTTGTTATGTTGTTGCTAGGTGGTTGTTTTTTGCCTTTTTTTTTTTTTTTTTTTTTTTATTTGTAATTCTTTATTCTTTTATATTTATCGGTTTTTTACCCAATAAAATATTGAAAGGAAAGTTTAACTAAATTATAAATTAAAAATAAAAATAAGATCAAAAAAGTAATTTCATTGGATTCGATCCCTATCCCAAGAATTAGGATTCCTTAAAAAAAGTTTTAGAGAATTTTCAGATATTGAGAATCTAATGTCATTTCCTTGTCAATTCCAACAAGTAAACATGACCTAAAAATAATCATCTTCAGGTAATTATTTAAGAAATAAATTAACGAATATAGGAACACACTACAAGGAAAAATGTTCCTTGACAACCAAAACCTGTCAAGGAAAGGGTTTGACAGTAAAAATCTCTATAAATTCAACTCATTTAGATACTGAGTAAAATAAAAACTGGCATTGTGTTTGGAATTATTTAATGCAAATTAGTACTTTATATTTATTCCGAAACCAATATTCATATCAATCATCTATAAGGAGGGACTTAAACTAACTTCATAATAAATACATTCCATGAATCTAACCAAAAAAAAAAAAAAAATTATTTAACTTAATTTCTGTTAAAAGGTATTTTCTTTTTCGCAAATACACAAATAAATAATTATTCAAATTTCATAAACCAAAGAGTGATTAATCATAATGCAATATTACCTATAATTTTTTTTTTTCTTTTTTTATCTAAAGAGATTAGATTTCTGACTAAAACATCAACATTATAATTATTATAGTAATTGCATCATCGTACTCAATTAATATCATTTTTAGCTCTCTTTTTTTAGCTATTTACATTAAAATTAGATTTATCTTTAATGAATTTGTATATAATAACACTTTTTATGCAGTACTTTAATAATTATAAAACTTTTATGAATAATCCAAATTCTATATGATTGTTATAATTTAGCAACACATGACTTATCCAAAAAGTTTAATATATTACTTGTATGATTTCAACTATAAAAGTATATAAATGGAGATACCCATTTAGATAGGAAGAATTTCAAGCATGTTATTCTGGGAAACAATCACAATAAAGCACAAAATTAAAGAAATATCAAATGGTATTAGTAAAAGACTCTTACTATTGGACTAATATAATGTTGAGTCTTTATTTACTAATTTAAGTTTTTAAGTGGGATGACAATTTGACATGATATCAGAATTAAAAATCTAAAGTTCAAATCTTCACATTTAATTAGATAAAAAAAAAAAAATTCAAGTTTTATGTGAACCGTCTATTAATATATTAATATAACGTTGAATCTTTACCTACTAACTTAAGTTTTTCAAGTGGAATAACAAACAATATATATAAGATTATATTATAATATATATATATATATATATATATACACTGACACTGCAAAACACAAACAATGAAAGAGAAAACTATTCAACTACAAAGATACGCATAATGGAAATCTTAATTATTTACCTTGAGGTAGATTCTCTTTTAAAGGAATCTGAAAATTCTCAATTTCTTAAAAATGTGGTTCCTCTTCCTCTTTCCCTTCCCCTTCCTCTTTCTTTTCCTTATTGATGAAACATTTACTGAATTCTTCCTGTCAATAAACAGACCAACTTATATTAACTTAAATGTTCTCCAAACAAACACCAGCACTCGGAATTCATAATATATTTGATTGTTGTTGTCAATGTTCACCCAAATTAGCCATATATAATTAAGCAACTTGCTTCATGTTTGAGAAACAATTTAAAAGCAGATAAATGCATGTAGAGAATGTCAAAATCATTGATAATCATGGAAGCCATGGACCTTTTCTTGCAATAATACTATCGCTAATAATGTTGAGTTGCTTTCTTTATCTAGATGGCTATAAACAATACTTCCAAAATGAGTTCCCAGCCAATAATAGCCAGGGCAGAGGCTAGTGTTACTTTCAAAAAATTGGGGTTCCTAGAAATAAAACTAAATTCAGAGGGAGTAAAATTATATTTTCTATTCTAAAATTTAAAAAACCCAGGCCTAAACTTGGCTCCACCAGTGATAATAGTATTTACATTCATTTAAGTTCATGGATAACATTTACATAATAACCACAGACAAAAATAAACAATGATAATAACCATAACAATCTCAATAACGATAATGGTAAATGTTAATAGTTTATGCATGCAGAAGTGATAAAAACAATGAGATTAACATACGTATAAATGAAAATCATACCACATAAATGAAAATCATACCACACAAAGAAACATAATATTTAAAATATTAAGTATAACTTGATTATATTCACATATGAGAGAGAAATATTCTATTATATATATATATAACAATAAACAATACAACACCGTAACCCAACACTTAACTGAGCTAGTACTAATTAATTGAGTTAGAAAACACATGGTGTTTAAGCACTTTGTAACTCTTCATTATCTTATAATTTTGAATTGGTGCTCGTTTTTCCATTTTTCTATTCGTATTCAAAGATTTATTCTTTTGTAAACTAAATTTCCGAGAGAGATCCAATTTCACAAGAAAATATGTAAGAAAACCCACCACAAACTCCCAAAAGTAAAAAATTACAGTTGCTTTTTATTTTTTCCATATGCTAATTTTGAAGTATATAATCTCTATTCACTTAAAAGACAACTATATTTTCGTTCCGGAAAAATTTATACCGTATAAGTTTTCTAAGGAAAAACAAAACATAATTCGAGTCCGTTCAAAATTTAAAACACTAATAAGATGCTTGAAGCCTTGCTGGTTTACAAGTATCTCCAGAGTCACAGAATTTGGAATTGCTTTCATGGAAAAGTCTTTGAAAGAAGAATTATTTTAATAATGAATATATAGTCATTATGTGATGATTTGAATAATAATTTAGTCAGGTATAAAAATTTCACAACTAAATAAATAATTGAGCAAAAAATAAATAAAAAAGAGGATCTGAATTATTTACCTTGTGCTGGAATTGCCTGCAAAGAAATTTGAAATTTGCAATTTATTAGAGTGTGGTTCAGTTTCCTCCATCTTTATCCCTTCATCACAGTTAGTGCTTCCTCTAAAGCCTTCTTTTAGTTCTATGCAGTCATTGGCGTACAGAAAATGGATTCCACACTTCTTCACCTTCACTTCATCTTCCCTACAATCTTTGTTTTTCTCTTCATCAAAGTTTCGACGGCTCAAATTCTTTGCCTGAAACTCATAGTCAACCTGTAGTTCGGTCCAACCAATAATTGACGATTTCATAATTTTATTAAACCCCATGAATACATGATCTGAACCAATATAGTAGGGTACAGTGGGAGCGGAATATTTGACAACATCATCAGTGTCCCAAGCATGCAAAGAGCTTGAGTATACTCCTATCTTCTTATCCTTATCATCTCTGCTTTTCAGACTACAGTGACATTCAACAATTAAATTGTCTTTGATGTAGCATCCTTCAGGAAATGTCACAACAGCGCACATACAAATACCCAGAAAGTGGTTGTCCCAATCAGGTGGCTTCTCCAGAGTTATACAACATCCCATATTTTGAAATCTGAACCACCGTGGAATTTCATTTCCAGGGAAACATATACCGTTACATATTTCTCGACAAATTTCCTGTACCATTGAAATTATCCTTGTAACATAATATTAAAATATATTTAATAAAATATTTTATAAAATTGAGCAAGAGAAAGAGTGTGAAAAAGAGACCTTGCCAAGAATGTCTGAGAGATCCAGTTTGAAACAATTCGCAAATTTATTCTTTGTTGCATCGAATTCGGTGAGAACAGAAATGATGAATCCGATATTGATTCCAATGATGAGCAATTATATGCTGCCACATTTAGACCACTTTTAAGCTCTGGCAAAGACTGAAGCTTCTCACAATAGCATATGTTCAGGAAAACCGAATTAGAAAGGTCTTTGATGCTTGCTGGTATGGTCTCAAAATTATTTCCATACACATCTAATATTTCTAGAAAGGATAATTGACCAAGATTGTTTGGTAGCTCCGGAATTTGACAGTTAATCAATTCAAGACGTTTCAAAGACAGCAATCTTGATAGAGAATTCGGTACCCAATTCAACGGCGCTTCATCATCAGATAATCGAGATATCTGTAATGAAGAAAGTTTGCTCAAATGGAAAATGGATGATGGTATTTCTCTTATGAAAATACCAGAAGCGTCCAATGTTTTCAAAGCTTCCAAGTTTCCAAGGTCATCCGGTAATCTTCCAAGTTTTGGGCATCTTCTTACTAAAAGATACTGAAGCAACTGCAGCTCACAAATATTGCTCGAGAGACTCTCAAGCTCTGGACAATATGAAAGATTCAATCTAACAAGTCTGGATGGATATTCAACGAAAGGTGCTTCTTTTATTGCAGTATAACTTAGATCTAGCTCTTCCACTTTACTTGAGATCTTTGGAGTCATTTTGAGATTTAAGCAGCCACGGAGAGTAATAGATTTTGATTGAATGTTGTCTGGAAGACTAATAAGCTTCTTACAATAGCTTAGATTCAGCTGCACAAGATTATTGAGATTCTGGATAGAGGAGGAACTGATGTCTAACAAATTTAAACAATCTACTAAAATTATCTCCTTCAGGTTTAGTAACCCAGAGAGATTTGGAACCTCTGTTATGTGTATAGACCAACTGAGGTCAATATGAATCAAATTTATGAGATTCTGTAAAAAGAAACAAATGACATATTCAAATTACAAATCAGCTCTCTGATATTTATAATTTGTAACTTGAACACACAGAAACATGCATATATACATACAAAACATACAGATATATATATTAGTAAATCTTTAGTCAAAACATGTTGATATTAATTTCATCAGAATCATATTTATACACTGTTAGATTTATCACATGGGATTGAAATGATATTTTACAATTCATATCCAATAGTATATATTCATGTTACTAACAAATTAATATCACAATGTCATGATTAGAAAATTATTATTATATGTATATATAATTTTATAGTTACATACACATACATACCTTGACAAAAACTTGATTCCCTGAAAGAAACTTTAATGGCCATGATTTTAACGGACATCCACGCCAGCTAAAGTAGGTCAACTCAGCAGAAAATAATTCAAGGTTTTCCAAACCAAGCAATTTATTTTTACATGAGTATTCATGTGAACTGAGGAACGCTTTTGCCGAAGTGGGAAGAGATTCAGGGTCTGGTGGGCTATACAATTTCAGGAATCTCAGTTTATGCATCTTTGAGAAAGCTTGAAAATCTAAACCTCCATCGCTTATTTCTGATGTGTCCAAGCTTATGCCTCGTATCGCTTCTGCACCCTAACAGTCAATAAGAGATGATAAGTTTAGCTTAAATTAATTATCTAATGGCACTATAATCCCAAAAATCTGTTTTGTTTTGTTTTTATTTTTCTTTCAACTGAATTTAATTTTAAAATATTTGAATATAAGACATAACCTTGTGTTAGGGCTGAGTGGCCGATCTAATTCATAACCAACCATTTAATCATATGAAGCTAAGATTTAACTAACTGCCAATGCTGCCTTGATAAAGTTTAAGGCTGTTTTAAAAACTAATAAAAAAATATCAAATATTCTGATTAACCATATTTTATTAAAAATAATTGTAAAAAAAAAAAAAAAAAAATTTACAGACAAACACTTTTATAATTAATAATAACATCTAGATAACAAAAATAAATACAGATTATGGGTTCAAAATACAAGGTACAAATTTGAAAATTGAGAATTAATAATAGAATTTTAAAACTAATCGTAAGTATAGATATCAAGAAAGAACATATTATATATGATCAGTTTTGTTACATTCATAATTCTTCCTTTACATCTAAATATAACACTATTTAAAATGCAATCTTAACTATGAGATTCAGAGAATATATTAAATGGAAAAGATAATTGAAGGAAAGGAAATAATTCTTGGAAAAAAAATATGTAAAAAGTAGAGCAATGAATGTTTAATTTGAAATCAAGTAATAAACTATTCAAATCGCATTAAATGGGACCTTAATTCATGGGGTTGACTTATTGGCCTTGCCCATTAATCCCCGGCTAGCAACATGTCATATATATATATAAAAGAATGGAATTTTAATGCTTTATCTCTCACCGTATTTTTCGTCAATACTTCATTGATATCCTTACGATGCCATAATCGAATGTGTTTGCCAGATTCATTAGTCGAATATTCTTCCCGAACAATTTCTCTACCCATTTCCTGAAGCAAATCATGCATCGTTATTAGACCACCTAACATAGTTAGGAGACACTTATCAATGAGAACATTTATTCCTTGTGTTGTAGAGATGTCACAAGCATTGAGGATTTCTATTATTGAATTTATGTTCTCCCCTTTGAAGAAACATGCAATGTCTAAAAATATGTCCTTTTCTTCTTTTTCAAGTCCATCATAACTAACCTTTAGTATTTTCTTAATACCCAAAGGAGGACCTTTTTCTAGTTTATTTATTGCACTTTCCCAAACTTCTTTTCCCTTTGAATAAAGAGAAGACCCTAGTACTTTAAGAGCTAATGGAAGACCTTTGGCATATGCTACCACTCTGTTTGACAACTCCCCATAATCTTCAGTAGGAAGGTTTTGTCTAAAAGCGTGCTGTCTAAAAAGTTTGCAAGCATCATCATCACCTAATCCTTTAACCTCATATATACTAGCATTACCAACTTCACAATTTCTCAATACCTGCTTATCCCTTGTTGTTATGATAAATCAACTTCCTGAGCCGAAGTGGTTAAAGCCTCCTATTAGTTTTTGTATATGATCCAAACATGTTACATCATCAAAAACAATAAAAGCCTTTATACGTCTCAACCTTTCTATTGTGAAGGCGACTCCTCTATTAGTATGTTTATCATCTAAGACTGTGGAAAGAAATTCATTTCTCAAGTGAGTCAATCTGTTGTTTTCAGATTCTTCCCTAACATTTTCAAAGAAGTAAGAACCTTCAAATTTACTAGCATTCTTGTCGAATAAAGCACAACCAATAGTTGTTTTGCCTATACCTCAAATTCCCCAAATTCCTACAATTTTGACACCATTTGCTCCAATGCACAATAAAGATTCAATCTTTTTGATGGCGAATTCTACTCCAACAAGGTCTTCATAATTACCAGTTGGAGAAAATTTATTTAACCTCTCTAGAATATCCTCAACAATTTCCTCTATAAGCACAGATTCAGGACTAGCAAGTATAAAAATAAAAATAGTTAGTATAAATATAAATAATTTTGATTCCGACAAGTGATCGATATAAACAAGATGGAAATAGGCTATCTTTCCTCCATTCTTAAGCGTGTGAAATTTCTAAAAGATTAATGTTACATGTACAAATTAATTATACAAATTATTCCCTATAAATTGATGTAACAACTTTGCATGTTTAACATATTATCTAATCTAGTTTGTTTAAATTATTTGTAATTTAAAATCATCCAATCATATTAAAATGCATCAGATTGTATAAGTTTGTATTAGAGGTTTGTCCATATATAATTATTTTTTCTAAAGTTAACAAAATCTCTTTCAAGGGAATCTTTAATTTGGTGAACATTAATATTGCTAAAATTACAATTAGATCTCCTGGTATCAAAGAGAAGATTGATCAAAAGATTTTGTGAGATTATTAGTTTTTTTCCATTAAAAATTTAAAAGAAAATTTTTTATAGACGAGTAAAGATTAAAAGAAATAAAAAAAACTTGCAGTTGAAAATATGGGTGCGTTTGTTTTGTTATTTTGGATAGGATTTTAGGAATAATATTGGGTAGTTGAATAGGATGAGTATTAAGAGGTAAAATTTAAAATTTAACAAAAAAACCTCCTAGGTTTGCTAATTTAACTAAACACCACAATATTTAAAAATTTTGAAAAATGACAAAAACATCCCCACCCACCCACAGTGCCAGATTCTAGCCACTACCGTTGGAAAATAGCGTTACGACGCTGATCGGTTGGATCTGGCCGGTCGTGCATCGATATGGCCTTTTCCGGCCAGATCCATGGTTGGATCTGGCCGGTCGTGCATCGATATGGCCTTTTCCGGCCAGATCCACCATGGATCTAGCCGGAAAAGGCCATATCTACAGCCAGATCTGGCTGTCGATGGCCTTAAAAGGGTAGATTTGGCCATCGATATGGCCGTCGTTGACCATCAACGACAACTATTTCTTTACGACGGCCAGATCGGCGAATTACCGGCCAGTCCCAGTCGTTTTTACGCCGTTGTTATAGATTCCGACAACCACCGACGATGGCTGCCAGAATCTGGCAACTATGAGTGGGTGAGGGTGTTTTTGTTAATTTTTAAACTTTTTTTTTTTTCTAGGAGTGTTTAATTAAATTAATAAATTTAAGGAGTTTAAAAGTAATTAAAAAAATAGAATAGTATTTCTCAAATAATAAAACAAACAACTATTTTGGGAATAAGATTAGGAATATGGATAGGAATAACAAAACAAACGCACCCTTGCTTTCGTAATTTATCTTTGTGAAAAATTATGTTATTTTTATTTCATTTGATATTGAGAAACAATTTCAGTTAAAAAAGTAATAATAATATGAAAGACAAGAAAATTAATATATTATGCGAGAATTGATACATACATTTCGTCATTTATAGGCCAACCAGAGAGACTGGCAGCTTCCTTCAAAGCAGTTCTCCATCTTTGTAGCATCTCTAACTCCTCTTTAGATCGTTCTTCAAGCTCAGCAAATGCATCCCCAAAAGTTTCAGTTTGATTCCTTACATCTGAAGGATCAACATGGTAGAAAACCGGTATTACAATATGATAACTTGTATTCTTGCATTCAAGGATCTGTTCAAGTTCTCGAAGACACCATTTGGAAGAAGCATAATTTTTTGAGAAAATGATAATCGAAATCTTTGATATTTTAATTGTATTCAAAAGAGATGAGGAAATTTCATCTCCTCTGACTAGTCGGTTATCAATGAAAGTTTCGATCTTTTTACGACACAAAGCTGCGTGAAGATGGCTTGTAAAGTTATTGCGGGTGTCCTCGCCTCTAAAACTCAGAAAAACATCATACTTCTCCACGGGATGAGTGGCAGTAGAAGAAGAAGCAGCAGCCATAAACTCCTAAACTCTACAAAGAATAAAGCAAATGGGTAAATTATTGTTTGTCCTCAATCTTAAAATAAGTGGTGTATATGATTCGTTGACTTGTAACAGTTAATTCCTCTCATTTTATTTTTGTATTACTTACTTTATGTGGGAACCAATTTCCAGGAAAATTCGTTCTCATTAATTCGGTAATCGGAACTGTTGATCTACAAACTAGTGAGCTCAGAGAAACTTCATAATAATTCAATGGAAAATGCTACAGCTATCGACTGGTGTGTACCCATTTTGTGCACCGAATGACGTGGCAAAATTCTGGCCGTTGATTAATATTAACTGATAATAAATAAACAGTCAGGATTGTGCCACGTCATTTGGTGCACAAAATCGGTACACACCAGTCGGTAACTGTAGCATTACTCTAATTCAATGCTTATCCGCCAGTTAAGCTTGTACAATCCTTTTACGTTGTTATTAATATTTATTCTTGGACCGTTTCATGTATTCATGTTTATCCTCAACTTATTGTTTTAGAATATTACGGTTTTAATATAGTGGTCATTAGGTGGCTAATAATAAATTAATATATGTTGTCCACTTTTATAAATCAAATTGTAATAAATTAATTATGTATTAGGTGGTTAATAATATAGTTTTAAAGGGGTGTTTGATTTAGGGAATATTGAATTACTGAGAATGTTGGATTACTGGAAAGTTAGATTACTTTAAAGATTATTGGGAATCTTTAGAAAAATATGTTTGGTTAATTGGTTGGTATGTTATATTAATATGTTTGGTTGAGAGGAATAAATTGGTAGTTATGTTATTTAAATTACTGAATTGTCCTTTAATTAAATATTATTATTATTATATTATTATTTTTTTAATATTGATTATTATTTGGATTATTATAAACCTCTTATGTTGTTATTAATATTTAATTAATTAGATAAAATTATTTCAAATAATTAATTCTCTAATTGACTGATTATTACAAATAATAATTCTATGTTCTAACAATTTAATTCTAATTAAAATTGAAAGTAATATGCTTTATTAATATTTATTATAATATAGATAAGTATTTAATTTTAACTTTTAATTGTATTCAACCCAATTAATTTAATGGTGAAGTTTCAAATTATTCTTGATTATAAATCATATTAAATTTAGTACTAAACCAAAAAATTAATCAGTTCAGTACAATATATTAAACATGGCTGTCTTGAGTTAGACATCAATTTAATTGTTCTCAACTACTCTTCCATACACTAAAAATGTGAGCAGTAATATATACCATTAGAATTTGGAAGCATCCCATATTTTAATTTTTTTAATTTTATTTTAATTGTATCTAGGAAACTCTTCTTTCTTAATTTATCAGGCCCACCACCGCCCACCTAACAAGAACGAAAACTGGCCGAATAACTTTTTGACCACAAATTTATAGTACTATTGTCCCCTTGGCTTGGAAACACACAAAGTCATCCGCAAACATGGAATTTTGTTAATTTTAGATTAGTTTAAGATTCATTATTTTGATAATAGAATATTGGGGGCAAAAATTGGTATTTTGATAAATTAATTTAAAAAATGATTGCGTAACAATGAAAACAAAGTCGGAACATTACCCTCTTTCATAGCACAATCTCCTCTATGGTTAAAACATTCTCAATCTGTCTCAAACCCAAAAGATAAGAATGAAACAGAGAAAACTATCTGATATCTGTCCTTTCATGCTTAGTTTCATATTATAGTTCTTGTTACATGAATAAAAATTATATTAAACAACACATCCACCTTGAATTTCAGATTTGGCTCCTAAATTAGTAAATTTAAATAATTCTTATCTTAAGTTATTGATTCATCATATCATTATGATGAGTTTGCTTGTTCTTCGTTCTGAACTCTATGATCAATATATTGTATATAAAAAATTTATTTTAGGAGTTTTACTCGACCCCCATGAGATTTAATCAAATAACAGAGGTCCCTTTAGATTTCAAAAATAACAAAAATTCTTCTATCATTAATTAACCTTTAGTACATTAGCGGATACAAGAATTTTTTTTAGGGTGGGTCAAAATATATAAATTTACATATTAATATTAAAAAAAAAAATTTGAGGGCCCACCCAAAAAGTGGCTAGATCCGCCACTGCTTTAGTATATTGTTAGAGTTTATAACGTGATAGGTAACCTTGCCTCTCTATCATTTATTTTAACACTAAAGAATTAACGATGGGGAGATTTATGTTATTTCTATAACCACAAGAAGATTTTTGTTATTTGATTATACCTAAGGAGAATTATTGTTATTAACCCTTTATTTTAATTAAATAGTTATTATTATAAAATAATGAAGTATTTTGATAATTAATATTTCATGAATAGCTTGTGATATTTAAAAGTCACACAAACCTACTTTTAAATTCATTTATATGGATTAATTCATTGTCAAATTTTAATATAATCTCTATTAAAATTAGTTTATCAAATACGTTTTGAATTACAGTTAAAGAAATAAGTGACCGAGAGAGAAACAACGATAATTTCAAATTAAGCCTAATCATTTTGTTCATCTTCAACACGCTTCTAAGATTTTGATATGAAAGTTTTATTAAAATATACTACTTTAATTTATGTTCACTGTAATGTAGGGACTCTCATTTATTTTATTATATTTCTTTTTGTCTCCGTTTCGTCAATTCTTCCTCTTTTATTAAGAGTAAACGACTTTTTTCCCACCAAGGTTTGCCTTAATTACACTTTTTCACCCAAAAAGTTTTAAAATACTATTTTTTCACCTAAAATTAATATTTCGTTATTACTCAAAACCGATTCCAACAGTAAAAATTTTCTCCGTCACTTCTATTTGAACTTCAAATCTCCTCTATACAAAACCTCTTCTACCTTGACACTTGATTTCTCATTGATTGTCGGCCACTGCAAAGCTAGACTTTCCTATTCTTAGATATTTTTTACTGATTCCGGTGGCGAATATTTAATCGAATACTACCATTAGAACCACAGGCCTCTATTCTACAAAAACTTTTTATCGTGGCTCTTGGTAATTCGCTGAATGCATGTTAAGAAAGTGAAGTATATTTTAGGTATTAACGGAATATAAACTTTAAATAAGAAAGTGATATTTTGAAACATTTTGTATGAAAAAGCGTCACTCAGTCAAACCTTGCATAGGAAAAAGTCATTTACTCTTTTATCAGGGGTAGTTGGCCGACAAAATTTGGTGAATGTTTGTATTTTATTCTTACACGATTTGATGTATTCATGTTTATCCTCAACTTCTTGTTTTTATAATATTACGATTTTAATGTTGGGGTCATTAGGTCGCTAATAGTAAATTAATATGTGTCGTCCACTTTTATAAATCAAATTGTAATAAATTAATCATGGATTAGGTGGCTAATAATATAGTTTTAGATGTATAAAGACTAGGGCGTTGACTCATAGTAAGTCTTCTTCTTTTGCCATCCAAATCTTCAGTCTCTCCTGGCATTGATAAAAAAGGAAATTGAGTTAATTAATGATCATATTTATGCTAAAATTATGTTGGATAATATCTTCAAACTTCAAAATTTTTAAATAACAAAGAAATTCTAATATATACAAAAGCAAATCAAAACAATCATACTGTATAAAGAAAATTTAAATATAACTTGAAACCTTTATTTATACAGAGTGTTATATGTGGTGAATCAAGGTTGGTTCAGTTGTTATGCAAAGAAAATAATGTAATATAACATAACATAATGAAAATTTGTGACAAAGACTATATTTTTAAGGACTTAGATAGGAATTAGAAAGATTTTAATTGAAAACCAGATCTAATTATTTAGTATTCACTGTTTATTTATATTCTTTAATTCTTTTTTATAGTTACGAATCTTCTTGGATTTATAAATTATGAAAATTTGTAATAAAGACTATACTTTTAAGAACTTATAATTTTGGGTGATCAATTTTTGTACTTTAGGATTTAATTTCTAGAAGTTGTTTAATTTTTATTTATGGTAAAATCGTATTTCCTGAACGAAATAGAGACAATAAGAAGAACAAAATATAATAGTAAAACAAATCAAACAGTAAACAAAGAAAAAATAATACGCGCGATTTATCCTGGTTCACCCAATATAGGCTACGTCCAGCTGAGTCAATATTATTGCAATATGCTTCACCTCTCTCGTTTACCATGAATGAATTGCTCTCACCTCCATAACAAGAGAAAAGTATGTTTATATACTAGGTTTAAGAGATTAAACCTAGTTTTACAGGGATTCATATTCCTAAGCCCAACCCAAAAAGGAATTAGTAACTTAAAAGAAATCCTACAGCGGTTATACATGGAAAAGCCCAAAACCGCCTATGGGCTTGGGGGCGCTGCCCTCGCGACCCCCGCTCACTCACCGGGCAACGGAACCCCCGAGTGCGTCCCCGTTACCCATTAATGCTGAAGTAGTCGACAACTCCAATATTTCCATGGTCAAATAAATTGACGGTTGGGTGGAAAATTGTTTTTTCGCGAATTGGGAGGGAAAATCTAATTTAGACTTAAACAGATATTGTCCTTGGAGCATCAATAAAGCCAAGTCCAAATCCTAGGAGGCATTTTTGTCTTCAGATAAATATAACAAAGGAGAAGCTGATCCTTAAACTCAGAGCATCAAAATTTCTAAAGCTTCAGGATATTTTCAATTTATCACGGTTTCAATCTTAGAATAGAATAATAGCAGGTAATTACAATTTCGGAGTTGCCATGTCGATTAGAAGAATTAGTTTAGATGGAACTGCGATCAAAGAATTGCCATCATCAATTTATGTATTTATCCAATCTAATCCAGTTGAAGCTTAGAAATTGCTCAAAGCTTGAGAGTCTCCCAAAGGGCTTCTCTAGCTCGAATCTCTTTGATATATTTTCCTCAAAGGTTGTTCAAATCTAAAGACTATTTCAGAGTTGCCATGTGAATTAAGAGAATTAGATATAGATGGAACAGCCAATAAGGAATCGCCGTCATATTTAGATAAAGCCGCAATAAAAGAAGTTCCTCCATCAATCAAATATCTATCTATTGGAGCC